CGATTCCGAAGAAAAGGAAACGCAATTGTGGCGTAAGAAAATAAAAATATTTTTTTGTAAAACATGAATTGGGCGGTACCTAGCGCTACCTAGCCTAGCTACGTGCGATTACTCTGCTTGACCCTGCCATCTGGTGGCAAGCGATTTAACATCATTTTACGCTACGCGGCTACGCCATAATTTCGTGTTACCGTGCTGAGATAAGCCAAGAGGTTGCTTCGGATTTGCTTTTTTTTGAGAGCGGCTTTTGGTTTTGCGGGCGAATGATTTTCACTCCTCCGTGATGTGCGGTTGACGCTACGGTTGACGAAGGAATTGTGGCTCGAGGAATAGCAAAGGTAGGACATAAAGTGCGCGAACTGAGTGCCGGTTGTCTCCGTTGAACATCGCAGTGCTGACGATGAGAAGACTGAGTGACTGCATGCTTTCGGAACGTAAGTTTCTTTACCTGCAGAGGTAAAGAAACTTCGGAAATAAATACAGTTCGCGGAAAGCTCGTGTTACGTTTTTATTTCCTGCTCCTCTCGCTTCGTGCAATAGACTTAGTGTTCTCGTTAAGCCTTACCGAGCTCGATTTGCTCGATTCGTGGCCGCCATAATGAGATGCAGTCGACGGAGGAACTTTTCCTCCCCTGCTTAAGGGACGAAAGTTTCTCCCTTTCTGAAGGAACATATGTGTCAAGAGCGTTCCTCCCTTTAGGGAGGACTATACTGACCCTTTTTTCTAAGAGTGCACCCGCCACGCCTCAGTAGACACCAAACCACTATCTGGCAATGGAACTGCCGCAGCTTCCGACGGAAGCGTGGCAATCTCCAACACTACATACAATCCCTCGAAACACCCCCCGATATCATAGCAATGCAGAAACCCCGCGGCCCGGTCAAACTTGCCGTCTATACAACTTTCCAAAATCCTGACAATAAGGAACCCACTACCGCCATCCTCGCACGCAGACATCTAACCGCTTCATACAAAAGCCTTAGCGGAGTTGACGTCGAGCACGACTTCTTGGAGATCCTTCTCCAGCGGAAAGGCGACCCCGGTCTGATTTGGCTCTCTCTTTTCTCGTGCCCTAATGGAGGCGGGTCCTTACGGCCTGGTCATAGTGGGAGACTTCAATGCCTCCCACACGGCATGGGGTTACAGGACATGCACTCCCAAGGGTCGGGATATATGGACCCAAGCGCAACAACACCATATAACCCTGGTAACCGACCCCCTCCAGCAAACACGAATAGGTACCAGCGTAACGGTAGACAAGATACCGGACCTAACGTTCACACACAACACAGCCCTCTTAAACTGGCGAAATCTCCGAGAACCGCTAGGTAGTGACCACTACATACTAGAAACCACGGTAGGGGGGTGCCTTGGGAAATCCCGTCGCAACCGCCTCCGCATTACTAGATGGGACGACTTTAGGGCCAGTAGAGAGGCATCTGCAACCGAAACCATTACCAACCTAGAAGAGTGGACCTCCACTCTCCTGACAGACATTCAACTGAACACCACGGATATCCCAGACGAAGCCGATTTAGAAACAATAGAAGGCCCCCTCCTTCATCTCTGAGAGGCGAGGTCCAGCCTACATAAGCGATGGAAAACCCAGCGGCACAACCGCAAGTTACGCCGCAAACTAGCCTACTTAGATAGAGAAATTGAACAATATTTCCTGCAGTTACTAACCCAACGATGGGGCCAGATATGCGACAAGATGCAAGGGCAATTGGGGCTTAAGCGCACATGGCTTCTGCTTCGTCACCTCCTTGATCCAACCTCAAGCAAGCACGAGCAGCAGCATCGACTTAATACTTCCCTGCACCAGTGGCCAGGGACTGAGGACGAACTCCTACAGATACTCCAATCTCGATACATAGGCGCCCCCGGACTACTTCCTTGCCCCCGTATGCAGGGTCCAGTAACCCCCTCCTGGATTCGAACATTACGGTCCCCGAGGTTCGTGCGGCTCTGCTTCAGCTCCATACCAACTCGACGCCCGGCCCCGACCAAATCACTAACAAGGCAATTCGCAACCTGGACGACCCATTTACAGAAGCCCTCAGGAAATACATGAATGAATGCTGGAGAACAGGCAATCTTCCCCCGCCCGGAAAACCGCAAAAAATTATCTCTATCCTGAAGCCGGGTAAGACCCTCCCCTCGCCTTAGAAAACCTCCGGCCGATCTCGTTCACGTCTTGCGCCGGGAAGGTGATGGAGCACGTCACCCTGAATCGCCGCGTGGCGTTCGTGGAGGAAAACCATCTCCTCCCTCTGCAGATGGTGGGCATTCGAGCCGGCCTCTCAGTACAGGGTGTGATGCTACAACTTAAGCATCAAATCCTACAACCCACTACCTCTCGCGACACCCGAGCCATCCTAGGCCTCGACCTCACCAAGACTTTTGACAATGTCGCGCACGAGGCAATCCTTACTAAACTAGCCGCCATTAACCCAGGCCCCCACATGTACGGGTACATCAATGCTTTCCTAACTGACAGACAGGCAACCATCACACTAGGGTCCCTCACCTCCGATCCCATACAACTGGGAAGCTACGGTACCCCCCCCCCCCCCCCCCCCCCCCAAGGCTCCGTACTTTCCCCCTTCCTTTTCAACTTAGCCCTTTTACCCCTTCCGGCTAAACTTAACACCCTTCCGGGACTTCATTATCGTCTCTACGCAGACGACATTACGCTGTGGATGGGATGTGGCAGCGATGGACACATCGGGGCCACGCTACAGTCCGCCGTGGACATCGTAGCAGTACACGCGGGAGCGGCCAAATTATTTTGCTCTCCACAAAAGTCCGAACTCCACCTACTGCGCCCCAGCAGAGTGGCCACGACCCCTCCCGAAATCAGATTGCAAGTAAACAACCATCTCATCCCTGAAGTTCCTACCATACGAGTTCTGGGCCTCTTAATCCAAAACAACGGCAAGAATGCACAAGCATTACAAAAACTAAAAATAAGCGTAGATCAAACGCTCCGACTCATTCATCGAATCTCCTCACGACATCATGGCCTCAAGGAGCAGGAGATGCTTCGGCTGGTCCAAGCCTTTGTGATCAGCCGACTTGTCTTCTTCACTCCCTACCTTCCCCTACAACTAGCAGAGCTCAACAAAGTTAACGCCCTTATTAGAAAACCTACAAGGCGGCCCTCACCCTCTCGCCCTCTACCTCCACCGATAGACTCCTTAAATTAGGAGTCCATAACACGGCCGAGGAATTAGCTGAGGCCCATCTGACCGCACAATACGAAAGGCTATCCACTACTCAGGCGGGCCGACACATCCTCACGTCGCTGCCAGATCAACTTCCCATCCAACCCATCTCACAAATGCTCCCTACCCCTCGAAATCCGCCAATCACTCCAGGTTTCTCCTATCCCACGAAACATGCACCCTCAATATCATGAACAGAGGCGCCTTAAACGCGCCGAGACCCTCCATAAGCTCCTCGGCGGCCGAGAGGACGTGGCCTACGCCGACGCCGCTGAATACACCCGCCGAGAGGCGTTTGCCCTCTCGGCGGTTAACAATGCAGGCTCCCTTCTGACCTCCGCAACCACTTTCAGAAGAGGCGAAAGAGTTCGCCATTGCTCTGGCGATGACACACACCTCCGCCACCACAATCGTTAGCGATTCCAAAACAGCTATCCGTAATTTCATGAAGGGGCGAGTTTCCCTCTACGCCCTACGCCTTCTCACTAAACACCCTCCTCACCGTTCCGTCCACCTCATCTGGACCCCTGCGCACTCCTCCCTTCGTGGCAGCGAGGCCGCCCACACTTCCGCCCGACGACTCACCGACCGGGCTGGGACCCCGCACCTCCTGAGATGGAGCTTCGCACGGCCCGGGACTGATTGGTCACCTTTCACGAGACCACTAACCATTATCGACTAATGAGGCGCATGTACCCTCCCCCACACCCTCCCCTACATCGAGCTGAAGCCACTACGTGGTGACCAGCTCCAGACCAACTCATTCCCGATTTCAGTCCTGTACTCCCATATACACCCAGGCATCTTCACACCCTCTTGTGCGCTATGCCCCATGGGAGGGCAGACCTAACCCATATTGTTTGGAACTGCCCGAAGGACCCTTGGTCCGACGGGCCTGGCATTGCTACCCTGGGGCAGTGGGAGGCCACGCTGCTCAGCTCGGACCCGGTCCTTCAGGACAGGGTCACCCAACGGGCTGAGTGGGTCGCTGGGGTCCATGGACTCCCAGCCACCAGGCGGGGATAAGCTCCCTATTCTGCCCGCTCAACAATCACCCTAAGACAAATACAGTTTTTCCTCCTCCTCCTCTCTGCTTGCCATGATGGTTTCCTCCTCTCCAGCGTTCGCTCTGCTAAAGTGGGAAAAGTGGAGGGCTTAGTGGGATGAGCTTGTCCAGCTTTTCGTAACCTGCAACAGACTATAGCCATATTGCGCATCTCACGGCGTTTGCTGCAGGAATGCGAGCGAATCTTCGACACACTTGTTCCATGGCGAGGCGGTGCCCGTTCAGACACCTCTCTCTTCTTCCACCATGATCAGAGTTATGAGCACTCACTCTTCACTACTAAACTGGAACTACCACAGAAGATATACTTTAAAAAAAAAAACCTTCCACAAAAAAAAAAAAAAAAAAAAAAAGACTTCTGGCAGTTGCCATTTAGGACGTTGGAGCGTTTGGCTGGCTTGGCGCATGCATGCTTGCCTCGCTTGACGAGGCCGCAAGCTTATGCCGTCAGACTGCTTTCAACGCACGGCGTGCTGCTACTTTCGTTTTCTAAACAGTGGAACGGTCTATGAATCTTTCCAAGAAAGGGCTTCTGACCGTTGCACGATCGTACGTTTTGTGCGTGCTTCGCTCGCCTGTCATAGCGGAGAGCTCTCGCATGAGATTCTCGCGCGCTGTGACTTTCTGTGCAGTGGTCCCAGCACAGTCTCTATCGAGGGTATCGACTCGTAAATTCGTAATCGCAAGTAGTAGATAAGAGGCTCACCTGTAACGTCCGGACTTGTTGGAGCACAGCCGCGAGAATGCTGACCGAAGCCGCCGCAGCAGCGGCCGAAGTGGGCGGCTGAAGTTGGGCCACGTCATGGACGGTGAGGCTCAAAGGCTCTTCAATGACGGGGGTCGTGGTTCGAGTGAGGCTCGCTGGCGAGCGAGGACTCGCCGGCTTCCAGGCGAGCCAGCAACTCGCGCTGGCGTCGCCTCCGCTGGAGCTCCTTGAATTCGCTGTGTCATGCTCGGCAGGAACTTCGGCAGTGCTCACTCGACGCTCGGGGCTGTATTCTGCACGATAATAAATTGTGCACATGAGTGACAGCTTCGGGAATCGAAGTTCGCCAACTCGGAGTTAACCTGCTTCGATTTGCTTCACGGCGGTGCATGATTTTACCGGGGCCGTCAGAAATGTCCGTTCTTTATCAATCGCCTTCAACGCACTGTCATCGTTATTGACTAGACTGTGAGACGCGTCCTGAGCATGCGAACTAGCCCTTTTCTACAGAATATCAAACGCTGCGCATACCACCCAGTGACTCAGCGTTTTTGCATGAATGATAAGCGCTGGAAAGGTGTATATAAATATATATTTTGAAATCAACGATGAACGCAAAGCTTTCCTGCAAATTATTGGCTAAAGTTATTATATTTTATTGATGACCTTTTTTCGAATGCGCGACCTGACCAGAGGTCTTTGTGCCATATGCTATATTGAAATTTGAGCTTGCGTATAACAAAACCCAGAGTAGCTCTGTTACCAGCACATGGCTAACTCACGAACACCGATAAGCAGGAGGCTTGGGACAGTGTTCTGGCGCAAGGACACTCGAAACTCTGGGGCCCTCGACTCGATCAAGGGGTGACTGCGGACTTCCGAGAATGATGGGACGCGGTCTGGCGCAGGTGGCGATAAACGTGTCGTATCGGTTCGAGAGCTCTTCGGCTGACCTTGAGGCACAATTTCGGGACCCAACAACCCCAAAAGTGGTCTCTGGATCGGGCAGAGAAATTCTGATGACGAGATGCAGGAGGGCCTATACCCCCATGGCTCCAGCCGTGCGGGCGGCATCGAGAGTCAAGAAAGATGCTGTTCAGTCAGGGCTTCGGGCGCTATGTTCATCGCTGTCCAACGAGCGGCGCGTGGAGGGAAATTAAAAATTGGGGGTCAGAAACGAGAAATACAGGGCGGTTTCCTATAAGTGTTCTTTTTTTTTTTCCTTCTGCTTTATATTGCCAACTTTGCCCCCGGATCAGATACGCGTTGGACGTCACACTCTGGATGGGCTCTCATTCACGTTGAGAACAGGACATATCTTTGAAAGCCGAGCGGCACTCCCAGACAAGACGTGTATATGAGACGAAAGGAATGGCCGAATTTCTGCTTTTCTTAAATTCGCGCGGAATTACGCTTTCTGTTGTAACATTTGTTCGTTATATTTAACCGAGCGGAGTATTCTATAAATATGCGCATAAAAAGTCGCGAAGCTACTCGTGCTGCTAATGCAGCTGTTGTTCGTTTCCTCTTTGTTGGTGTTTAGCTTTACGTTGCGGTGTACAAGCTGGAATGCCGCCTGCTCGATTTAGCTGTGGCGTCGTCTGCTGGAGGGGCTTCGAGCAGACGACACGCGGTTGGCGCCTGGCCAGAGACCACCGCACTGAACGGGAAATACCGTTGCCGAGTAAAGTCAGCGTCTCTCGACTTAGCAGGAGGCGCTTGTTTTCTTTGTTCCATTTTGGCGTCGTTGAGTGTTTCTTCGCGCGTGCAAGTACCTGTTGGTCTGCTTTTGTGAAAGAACGTGGATGAGTAACAGGACGAGGCGGCAATGCTACATCGCGGCCGCCAGATTCAGCCAGAGATGTATGCTCGCCAATGGAAGACGTAGCCATGAAACGAATTTTCTACTATCGCTAAATACTACTTAGAATCACTCCCTAACGTTATTAACTGAATAAAATTGCCTTATTATTTTTTTCTAGGCAAGGGCTGCCGCAAACAAGGTTTTAGGCCATATGAGCATCGTTCATCCCCTCAGCTCGGAGCCAGAGCAAGCGGCCACGTGGCCTGATGCCTATCGTAAGCCGCCAACGTTAATCATAGCCACGCGCTAGGGTTGGCAAAGTAGAGAACGCGTGCTGAGCTCAAGGCATTGTTAGAGTTCGGCTATTCTCATCACCGCAGTGGTTGGACACGAGCCACTACCCGAGTGTCCGCCGAGGCATTGATTGTTACGAGCCGAAGTCGAGTGCTCACGCAGTTCTCGTGTCCAATCCACAAGCCGCGCTCGTCTGTCGCCAGACGGGTGGCTTCGATCCCATAATTACGTCATCAAGCTTTGCGAAGGAAAGACTGAAAGAAATGGTCCCCTTTTGTCCTCGCAATTTCATCCCGACAAAGAAGCTTCTGAATCAGTGGTGGTTCGTGCGAGTATGCTTGGGCCAGACTAGGACCAGTACGCCTCTGCAAAGTCATAAGCACTCCAACCCGATATCGTTTCATGACTCCTTTAACGCGGTTCGTCATTCCAGCTGTCAGCGTACTGACCAAAAAGAAGTGATCGGGCTGGTGTTGCTCTAAACTTGGAACGATTCACCAGCTGTAACTAAACATGCAGCTAACAAGCTATGTATCCCTTCCCAAAACTGTTTGTAACGTATGCCACATATTTAGCGGACAAGATGAAATGGTTTATTGAATTGAAATCGGTGCAATGTATAGCACGTTATAAAATTTGACATCACATTTTGTTTGGTGATGATTGAATGTATATATACCCCAAACGACGTCTTTGGCACGGGCACAGCATTGTCTGGACGTGTGTTGTATCACTCACCATGCAGTAACAAATATGTACAAAGTTTTTTTTTTACCTATTATTTTTTATGAGTCATGAAATATCCTTCAAGCGTGAACTACGGATGCAAACGATTATGCGTGTACTTCTCAAAGTGTCAAATTGCATTGCATCATTGCGAATCGACATTATTTCATTGATTAACATTGTACAAATGGATAAATCGTCCTTTTTTATTATTCGTAATACACGTATGCCTTTCGGAGTTGTTGCTGCTCGCTTTTTCGGGATACCTAGGGCTCGTCAAGCAGTGTAACGCAGCTTTTCCACTGGTCTCTTCCATTGCTGATGATAGGAATAAACTATATTCATGTTACTCATGTTATTGAAGGTGCTTTACATCTATGTGGCTTCTGATGTCTCGCGCCAAACTGAGCCCGTGTATGCGCTATCATAGGAATTGTTCAGGCGACGTTTTTCCTGCTGTGCTTGAACTATATGTTTGCTGCCCCTGGGACGTTCGCACGCGTTATGGGTCACGGAAAATAAAGAAACAACTACTCGAGAAAACACACACACACACACACACACACACACACACACACACACACACACACACAAAAAAAAAAAAAAAAAGAAACCTCGCTCCCAGGGCATGCGGTTGAGGCTCTACAAAAGTCGACATACTTTACTTACGGTAATGTAAGGGAAATCGGGTGGTTTCGCGTTGTTTTACTCCCTTATTATTATAGTATTTCTTTTTTCTCGCGAAGGAAGATGCCAATTGAAAGGGGGAGTAGTTTTTCCCCTTATCTGGCGCGATAACAGGCACCCCACTTCCCGCTACGGTTAAGGTGATATACAGGCGAAAGTTGGTCCGCGGGAGCGCCCGGCCCCGCCGTCGCCCCGCACTTACGCATATCACGCATGCGCAGACAGCCGTACAGCAGGCGGTCTGTTGAACTATGCCGTAATTCAAGCACTTCCTTTCCGTAACATCGCCGTGCTCGTCTTTCGGACGGGCTTCCGGTTGAGGGGCATTCAACATGTGGCCACTTCCGGTCGCGGTCTTGCGTCGCGTTTTACGTCCTGGTTTTGTTTCGTTAAGGTAGGGATATCTATGTTTGTTGCTCGGCGTCTTTTTTTCTTGTTTTTCTTTTTTTTTTTTTTTTCCCGTAAGTGAGCGCACGGATTTCCCGTCGGTTGCATCTTGCGCGCAAGTGTGCGTCGACGAAGTGCCTCACGAGGTGCACTGACACAGGATGTGACGTCACTAGAGCTTATGGGGAAAAAAAAAGAAAAAAAGAGGGAGCGAACGAAGACTGCGACGGAAACGGGGCACGGTTTTAAATGTCCCCTCGTTGCAACCTTTATTTATTATTGCAGCGATGCGTCGAGGTATTTTTGGCACGTTCACGACGATCAGAGGGGCATTAAAATGGATTTCGAGTTTGTCTTTTTGTGGCGTAAACTCAATCTATGTGCCCTAGAAGCATCCCAGAAAGCAATCATGCGCGACCTTTTTATTCATTAAAAACACCTAACATCGCGGAACGCCCCTCTTCTAATATATATCAAAAAAAAAAAAAAGGTGTGTCGGGATGTTTGGGGGCTGTTTTAGTAGGAAAAAAGATCACACATAATTGTATGTAATTTTTTTAACACGCTTAGGGCACTTAGATTGAGTTGGGATCATAAAAAAGACTAAATCAAAATCCACTTCAATGCCCCTTCAAGGAACCGAGTAACTCGTACACAGTCGGCGCTGTTAACGAAAAGTAACATCCCAGATTGTGAAAATAACCCATTGTCGTAATCTATACTATTAAACAATTTAACTTTAACGATGACCTAATTTTTGCACCATTTCATAATTAAAGAACAAAAAATCGTGCAAAACTTAAACCACGCGAACTCCTCACCCCGTGGTTGAGAATCCTCACCCCTTGGCACATCACTTCCTAACGCTAAATACGAGTATTCCCCAAACGTACACCCGCGAAAATATAGTTGTTTACAGTATATATAGGTGGTATTCACTGAGCCTGCAGGTTCGAGTTTGCCAGGGAGCTCCACCGTCGATCCGCCATCTTCGAGGTCGCGGTTTGACATGCTTGGGTACGCGGTCGTACGTTGGTAGTGTGTGCTAATTCGTTAAACAAAAGGGAGAAAAAGGTTTATCTCGGGGGCGGGCCGTTTTAGTTTCCTTGTTGCCGCCGAGTACCGTGTGTAAAGGCTGAACCGCATGTAAGCAATTTAGCGGGCGACGGGACGAGACGAGCGACAGCGACGAGACAAACGACGACGACCTGCTTCGCTGTCGCTCGGTCACTCGCGTGACGAGGCAGACCGCATGAAAACGACGGGAGCAAGCGACCAAGGCGATTAGCGATGTTTTCTAGAAATCCAAAAACCGAGCGACCAGACGACCGACCCTGAGAAATCTCCGTCGCTCGTCGCCGACAACCGTCGCTGTCGCCTTCGCTCGCTAAATCG